ATATAAGTTGGACAAAAAATATAACAAGCGTCTCCATGATTGTCGTCTCCCCACCATCAAAGCAATAACATCATCATCACCCCTGTTCACTATTTTGCTTAACCACAAGTGCATGGATTGCTAGTAGGATAAAAAGTATCGTTTCCTTACAAGTTAAGGCCAGACAAGTTAAAAATCACAATTGTGTTTATAATTAGGTTAAGTAAAATTAATGTGTAAATGAAGTTGTCTAAGAAAGGTACTTTGAAAACAAAGCTTAAAATCAAAGTTTAAAACTTGACTTTTGAGACAAATAAGGATCTAGGATTATTTCTCACTATTGTATTTCATAAAATTTGATTAAAAACTTCTCATTTAGTGTTTTAATGATAAGTTAAGTCAGTCTAAGGTTCACAAATGTTAATTAAGTTTTTTCAAGTCAAAACCAAATTTTGTAATCTTGATAAACCTCCACAATCTCTTGTTTTTGTTGAAAATATTACACTTTGAAAATCAAAACCCTTTTTTGAACAGTGCTAGATTAATCAATATATCTCTATTCTATTAACAAACCATCCATTTAATAGAGTAAACTTTCAATCTAGCAGGTTTTTACCCAAGATCAAAGATCAATTTAACTTTATTAAGCTTCAACTAGTTAAACAAATTACTCCAAGTGGTGACCAATCACAAGAAAGCACTAAACTTAAGGTAAAAACAAAATAACAGTATCATTAACATTAAAAAAAAGAGTTCAAATAAGTATTAATCCATACAATAGATCAAAATAATCCTAGAATGACTACTCAAGCTACAAATGTTCAGTAAAGAGTCACAAATACAAGGGTATTTTGCAGCCATTAAAAAAACAAATGAGAAGAGAAGAAGAAAACCAAGGAAAATGAGAAATGAAATTCCAAATCTCCTTCAAACTTCAAACTTCAAGCTCAAAGCTCCCAAGCTTTAAAACCTCTAAATCCTAGCAGAGAACTCCTCTAAGCATGTCCCCAATTCGAAATCTGGCCAAGAATCCTGAATTTCCCTTTTTATATGCCCTAAATTTTAAGTTACAATACAAAACGCATAGCTACGCAGAGGCAGATGCCACGATGGATAGGCTCATCCATCGTGGCGGATTGAGCAGAGAGGGAAGCTCTTTGAAATGGAACAGGCACCGCAGCGGATTGCTGTAGGGACTACGATAGATTATGCAATCTTGGCCTTCTTTAATTGTTTCTTCGATCCTTGCTTGCTTTGCATCCATGATCTTTCTTTGATCAACCAAAATAGGTTAAATATTTCTCATTGTCATTCATCTTCCAGCTCTCGCTACTTCCTACACCAAGAATTTTAGAAGTTTTACACAAAGAATCCCTAAGTATTAGCACAAATCAAGCTTCACATTTTCAAATCATATTTTCCAGCTTTAAGAGAGTAACCTTAGACAATTAGCTTCCAAAACCCACAAAAGAGTATTAAGACAAGCTAATTTGGTAGGACTTTCAAGAGGTTATCAACTCCCTTCCATTTTGTCCTCCTCCTCCCTTCAGAAACATAACTCAAATAAAGAAAACCCAAAAAATTATATACGATCTAGATCAAACATAAATTCTTCCTCATCTTCCTCCAATTCCTCTTCCACCCCTAATCCCCTCAGGGTTACTCCATCTACTTCCCTCAGCACCACCGCTAGGACGGCCACCGTAGTCGACTATGGCTAAACAAAAAGACAATCTGCCATAAAAGCTCTCAGCATTCATGAGCTTTCTTTGATTTGGCGTTAATTCTTCACTGTTAAAAAAATGCTTATCATCATTGTTAGCTCTGTTCTTCCTGTTAATTTTTTGCCAAAAGTCTCACCAAACCCACCACCCTTTGTCTCCTATGATTAAGCAAGTACCCTCTACATACTTTGTTCCATAACCCATTACAATAATATTTGCTCAACCCAATATATAGTTAAAATCTTTATTTTTTCTCTCGAAGAAAAGACTAATGGAGGAAGACCTCTGTTTTTAGGTGGCAAAAATTTTGGAAGGAAAGAGTAACAAAAGAGGAAATAAAAAATGTAGGAGAGAGAAAGAAAGACGGAACTTGCGACAATCTTTACTGGTGAGCTGACTGAGGGGTTTATCGAGAATGGATTGGAAGTTAGCAATGATAGTGTTCATGGCTTCTAGATTCCGGCGACTGTGTGTGTCCAACTTTGGAGAAAAGAAAAGGTGAAGAAGAGAGGGGAGGAGAGAGACATAAATGAAAAGAAAAAGTGAGGGTGTGTAACGATGTGTGAGTAGACGACAAAGTGAGCAGCGAGAAAGAGACACGTGTATGCTTAGTGGGATTCACAAAAGAAAAAGTGACAGACGTTAAGGGTAGTCAACAAAAATAGCATTTTTGCCCCGTTTTGAAAAATTAATGGGTGTTTTTACCTCCTGACATTTTATTACGGTGCTTGGTGTTTCTTTTCGATAGTATAATAGGTAAATTTTTTCATTAACCCTATCTCTTAAAACTAACACACATTATTGAATTAATTCAAAACTACATATTAGATATTTTTTTTAAAGTTATGTTCTTTTTGAATGAATGTATTTTTTTTCTCACTAGGTATCAGTATTCTCCTATTAAAAATAACCATATTCAAAGCACTATCTTCTAATGTTTAGTGTCTGCCAATACCTCAAATAGAATTGCTTCCAATGATAAAATATCTGTACATCAAACATAATAAAATTTAATATATTCAGTCATCAACATTAGACAAAAATATATCGTTAGAAGGATTTTTAGAAAATAATATTTTGATATCTTATTAAAAAATTGTTAATAACTTTAATAGTTTTATACATAGTTTAGTACTTACTTTATTTAATATTAATTGTTAATATGATCTGACATAATTATCAATTAGAAAGAATTATAATTAGTTTTTCCCCCCTCAAATGACAAAGTGTTCCCGTTTCGTCATTTATCCACTTTCTTATCCAAATTAAAAAAAATTGTTAAATTTTTTATTTATTTGAAAATATTGTAACATTTCAATTAAATTAAAAAGAAATGAGGTCGCTATTTAAACTATAAAAATAAAACAAAACATCATATGATATTATTATCGTTGGTAAAGATGGTTTTTTGAAGAGTACAAGAAGAAGAAATGAAGAAGTGTCTTCAAGGCATGGGCAGCACTTTCTTTTAGGCTTAATTCGGCCCCACCTATTCCTATCTTATAGGGTGCAAGTTGAGTTGATTGACAAATTTCTTTCAGGATATAATAAAGACCCTTGAATATGGATTGCACTTTCAACATTCAAGCGAAGACAACAATGACCTTTACAAAGTGATAATTTGACTCTCTCTGCGTGCATTTAAAGACAAAGACAATGAGTTTGATCTTTGTATTTGTATTGTGTTGTGTCCAAATGAAGTGATGGTGAGGGGCTTATATAGACCATGGAATTATGCCTTGAAGAGATACTTTTTGAAACAATACCTTATTAAATAAAAAGTCCCATATGTTGGTTCATGAATTAACATAATTAAAATAAATAAAATGTATTTCATATATAGATTCTTTTAGTATTGTAACTTCCTACATAACCTATCATATAAATATATTAATTTACATGGAGACATAACTCCTCATATAAATATATTAACTTATATGAGAACACAACTCTTAAAATAAATTAATTAATTTATATGAAAACATAACTTCTCATATTAATTTAATAAATTCACATAAGGACATGACTTTTCAAAAACACATCTCTTTATTTTAAAAATATTCTAACAATTACTAGGCAGCTTATAATTTAAACTTTTATTTTTCAAAATGCATCCTATAGCACAGGAGGGATCAACAATGTGCCCAAAGAATAACCAAATACCTCCTCCCTCCCTTCCTCCTCCAACACTCTAAAACAATTTTTTTTGGTGACACACTCTAAAACAATTTTTCAATAACATATAGTATCTTAAAATAAATTTTGGTGTATTTAGCACCATAATTAATATATTTTTTTTAGTAACATTCAATATCATAAGTGTAGAAAGTACTTGTTGCTATTAGAAAATGTTTTAGGGACAAAATCGCACTAAAATTTATTTTAGAACGTTAGGTGCTACTGAAAAAATACTTTAAAATACTAAATGTATATTAAAAATTAGTTTTTGATACTAAATACCATAAAAAATATTTTAGAATACTAAATATAATTTACCACAATTTATTTGTAGTATTTTATATTGTATAAAATAAATATATGAAGAAAATTTTGTCTCATAAAATATAATACTACTCCAGTTTTTATTACTTATTCTCACATACCAAAACCTACATTAAATAGATAAAATTTTTCACACATACCCTCATTAAAATTTTCTATTTCTTTTTATTTACAAATCAGTCTTACCTATGATCTCTTTCTCTTTTTGCAATAAAAATTAAATAAGAGCTCACAAGATTAGAAAATAATCGTTAAATACTCTACAAATTACTTATGTTTTTGACAAAAAATTTTCTTTATAAGGAGAAGAGTGGCGGCCTTTTTTTTTTTTTTTTTCCTTTTAATAGTGAATTAGTGATCCCGAACTCGTGGCACTAAATGGCGAATACATGTGCCCATATATAAAGCTGCAATTAATGCAATCAATTTACCCACCGCACAAAATGACAAATTAAAAAAAAATTGTTAATACCTGCTGTGATAATTATTAATCTTTACACTTTAAGTTGTTAACGATTGCTCTTTCAGTTGTTAATGTAAACTTAAAAAAACAATTAAGAATAATTTGGTAACTAAACAAATAAAATTTATTGCAATGAGGTACTTGGGACTTGAGAATAATTCGATTATTTTAAGGGATCTTTTTGTGTTTAATTCTTTTGAGTTGGATCTTGTTGTAATTTTCCCCTTTCTTTTTTTCCTTTTTTTTCTGTTTTTTTTAATTTGGGAAAGCCTGTCTCCTCCTGAATAATTTGCTGCTCACCAAGACTCTATCCTTCATCCTTTCTTCAGTCATCACATTTCAGAATATTCTTGCAGGTAACAACACTTCGCTCTCCTTCTCAAGAGGAAACCTCCTCTTCTCTCTGTATTTCTCACTTAGATCTGCACTTATCCTTCCTAATCTATCCTATCCAAGCCTCAAACTCTTTTTATCTTGTTTCTCCACCTACACCCAATCCAAGTTCTCTTCATTTTATGCTTGTCTTTTTCGTTTAACACGCAGATAATATTCTTCTGCGTAATTAATTTTTGTCTGAGACTGGATTAAATTTTTAGATTTCCCTAATTCTTTCTCTTTGATTTAACTTGGTTTTAGTTTGAAGGAGAGATTGGTTGAAATGACGAGAAGGAAGATAGCAATAAAGAAGATCGAGAACGTAGCTGCGAGGCAGGTGGCTTTCTCAAAGAGAAGGAAAGGTCTATTCAAGAAGGCTATGGAGCTGTCAACTCTCTGTGATGCTGAGATTGCTCTCTTAGTATTTTCAGCTTCGGGCAAACTCTTTGATTATGCTAGTACAAGGTATCTTTTCTCTCTGTATATAATGTAAATGTGTGTTCTATAACTAGGAATCAGAATAATCTGAATTTTAATCACGTCTGGGATTTTCGTTTTTGTTTAGAGGAAAAGAAATCCTGATCTTTATTTGTTCATAAAGAAGCTGTGATAGCCTATGCTTTTATTCGTCTCATTTGTGCTCTCTTCTAAATTTGTCTATATAATCTCCTTCAGTTTTGATAGAGTCGGATTTCACATGAAATGGCTCTAAAAAGCATAATAACTCAACCTAGAATCTGGATTATTAGCTAACCAAGTTTGACCCATAATTCATTTGTCCATTCTTTTTTAAGTGTCAGCATATATGCATCTCATCTGTTTGATCATCAATTACCATGTTCATGTTTCGGTGAAAATTACCTTTTGTTATGCCAGTACAAGGTATCTTCTCTCTCTCTCTCTCTCTAATTGAAATGATTTATATTCAAGTTGCTTCCACACAGTACTTCTCTTGCTGTAAGGGGAAAGCTTGAACTAGATGTGCTGACCAAAAAGTTGTGATATAGTCCTTTTGTGCGCTTTTATATATGTGTGTGTCTGAGAATTAATCATGGGGGTATAATTGAAAGTAATGAGTAATCTCATCATAACTGTGTTTTGATTATACCTTTAACTTTTTACTACAATGTCTTGAGGTTGCTGCTAAAATAGTTTGAACACCGAAATCTTGATAGTCTTGGAAGAGACTATGGAATTTTGTTCAACGTTCATGTGAATAATATGTACAATAATCAACGTTTAAAACTTAAAACAGTACAAAATAGTGGTTTGAAAATAACGAAAACGACACATATACGGAGGAATATTAGATTTCATGAAGCTGCTTCAGCTCCAGAGGCTTTTGTTAATGTCAAGATGCTATTTTTCTTCTGTTAAAAAAAAAATGATCCTTTCCGTAACGATCAATATCATTATATCAATTATATAAAATCTATAAGAAGCTACACTACTCATAATTCAAGAATAATGTATTCGTCTTTGATTTCTTGTTTTGTTTGAAAAAAAAAAGGCCCACGATAAGCTATTGAAGGCAGTACTCATGTACTCTCTTCTTCTCCAGAGAGATATAGTCTGTAGATTAGATGGTTTTTATCTTAATAATTTAGTTATATTTTTTCAAAATCACTTTCAATGGTGTTGGAAAATTGTATATTCTTTTTTACTATGTTTCTTTCAAAATAAAAAATATCAAAAGAAGATTTAAATCTTCTAGTTTAATTTAAATGGTCTAGAGAAGTACAAATACGGCATACTTTTAAAAGGTAGAGATGTTTTCTTTTTTAGGTCAATAGAGAACATCCCAAATTAACTTTTAGTTCATAATTTTTTTTCTTCGTGTTTTTTATTGATTAATTAGGTGGATTAAAACAGTTTAAAGAGGATTATGAGAATACGCTACTAGAACAGTCAGGTCACTTTGGCTTTGAGGATACTAAAAATTTTGTAAGGCTATCAACTTATAACGGATTGCTCTTGACGTTTTCCTTATTGTCTCCATGTTTTGATATTCATTGATGGCAATATTTATATGTTATAATTTTGAATGAGTCTATCTTGAGTTAAGATTCGATTAATTAAATGAACGCTGTTATATTAGTTAAACGATTAAATTCACCTATTTTAACTATGACTTCCATTGTGCCCCTCCTCCCAGCAAAAGTATGACTTCCATTAAAATTTAAATTCGATAAATAATTTTAATTCATCAAATGATAATTTATGCTATATAATTCGGTTAAAAATAGTTTTAAAGTATGACTTCCATTTTAATTTGCAATATTTCTGTTGTTTTAAGCACGAGGCAAGTAATTGAAAGGAGAAACCTATACTCAGATGTGAACCTTGTGAAGTCATACCAGCCATCTCAAGAGCTGCAGGTATAATTTTTCTTCTGCTCTCTACCCCTTCATCTATTGCTGTTTTGATTCATCTTTCTTTTTCCCATCTCTCTATCTGTGCGTCTGTATATGTAAAATCTTACAAAAATAGTAATCTTAAGCCCCATTTGTATGCACAATGAAAAGGGTGTAGGAGCTCATTGCACAAATTGAGACATACTTCCTCTAATCCTTATTATAAGAAGTCTTCTGTAAGGAATTTTTGGTTATAAGACATTTTGATAGTTTCAATGAGCATTAAATATTTCTTCCCATATATGCCCATATTTAATAAGGATAGTGAGAGAGAATGAAGATTAATATGATATTGGAATTTAGTGTGATTAACAAGGATAATATTAGAAATTACTTAAATTTCATGACAAATTTAATGCTTTTAACTATTTTTATTAGTACTTGTAAATTAGTTAGAAACATCTTATAATATGGATGAGAGGAAGTACAATATACTTCCCTCACTCTAAATATATGAGTTAGATAACTAATTTACATATATTAAGAAAATTAAATTAGTTATTTGTTAAAAAATATGTGTTGGCTATTATGCAATATCCGCTCTAATCACTGGCATTGGAAACTATACTTATTGATGAAAACTCATTTTATTTGTGCGATCAGAATTGCCTCCAATAAGAGGATATTAATGCCTATAAAAAAAAAGAAATAATTTGCAGAAAAATTATAAATTTGGAATACAAAATGAACGGAGGTCTACTTCAATTAGAACCAAAAGAAACCTCTTAGCTGATATTTAACAGCGGAGGGAGTATATTATATTACTGCTATAATTATTCAATAGTAACTTCTTGTCTTTTTTTTTTTTTTTTTAATTCAAGGGTATGATGGACTATATATATACACCTTATATGAAAATGCTTGGAGTATATTAAAAATTTTGTTATTGAATGTGGAAAGCATATGGTAATTGGACAGGTTGAAGGTGAATATTTTAAGCTAAACAAGGAAATAAAAGAGAGGACTCTTGAAATAAGGTATTACTATTACCATTATTAAATGGAGCTAAAGATTTTACAATGGGGGATGTGCAATGTGTTTATTATAGATTCAAATATGTTGCTCTACATCTAATAATAGACAGCTCAATGGAGAAGATCTACAAGGACTGTCTATAAAAGATCTGAGGAAGCTAGAAGATTTACTTAGAACAAGCTTGCATCGCATTTCAAAAGCAAAGGTTTGTCTTTTCCTTTCATGACAGTACTACAAAAATTGAAATATTTTATGATTGTTTTAGTCATCAACTGTCAATTAAACAATGGCTTATTTGAGAAACAGGAAAAATAACCCAAAAAAAAACCTATTGAATTTCAAAATGATAGATAAGTGAGTTGGACTGATTTTGATTTGTTAAAGTATTACAAGGGTAGTCCAAACCCTTACAAGAATAATCACCATGGCCTATTTGTCTTTTTGAAATTCAACATGTATTTTTTTTTGGGGCCGTTTTCCCCTTGAAATAACTGTCTGATATGCAGAGGCTTATTTGACTGTTATTCATCTTGTTTAGCTCATAATATTCGATTTGTCCCTTTTATAATGACAAAACTATATATTATATTTCAAATATTCATTGCAGCATAAAAAATTAGGAAGTGAATGACATAAAAATTAGATAGGGGTCAACTAAAGTCTCTTTATAAAGCCACCTTTTTTTTTGGGGGGGGGGGCTACCATAAGGCTACCTTAGTCCATGGTTCCAGCAAAGAATGTTAGTAATGTTCTATAATTCTTTCCCCCTTTTGTGAAGATAATTTTAAATCACAGATCAAAAAAAGCAACTATATCCTCAAAATAAAATGCATAATTTAAACATTTTCTCTTGCATTGTGTTTCAACTTTGCCTCATGCTACAGGGATTGAAGTAACCTAAGTAAATTCTAGTTTTAATGCTCTACATGTCCTTTAGTTATAGGAAATGATTTTTCTTGTTTGATGCTCATTTGACCTTCAACTGTGCAAGATACAAATTAAAGAATGCCCACAATGACGGATTTAAGACACTAACTAACCTTATCTGCATTGCTTTTATAATTGATAATGAGCAGTCTCATAATCCTCATATCCTATATATCCAAATGGTACAGATATAGAAAATCATTCATAGTCCTATCCAATCTCTGTTCATAAATCATTTTATATATTTATAACTATAATTTACCGAATATGCCAAATATGACTTAGGTTGACTGTTATAACTCCAATAAGAGAAACCTGATAAGTCTAACACAATTATGGGATGCTTTTCATCCCTTAATTATTCCAAATGTAACTGAATCATAATTGAATTAGATCCTCTTTATTCTTCTCAAAGCTCATTGACAACTTGCCTGTCATTGTATGTTCCACTAACTTCACCAGGCATGGGTTGACAAGATGGGATGATATTTTGGGAAAATCCCAATAGGAAGGGAATACACCTATATAATAACGTAAAATGAATCACTATATAAAAGATGACATGCATATTGACTAGATGATATCATAAACACCTAGAAATCATTACTAGAGAACCACTGCACTCTCCCCCTTACCTATCCTGCTTTTTATGCCATAAAGACATCTCTTAGCCACAAGGCTTTCTTACTATACAGGCTCTGCCTTCAGGTTTCTTTACCACAAGGGTATAATTCTTTGCCAAAGAGGCAATATTTAACTATTCAAGGCTCTAACTTTGAGTACAGATCTACTTATCACCTAGGATTACATAAAATAAACTAGGCACTCAAACAAGACAGACATATAAGAAGAGTAGGATTGCTGTCTTGTGCAGAATTGACAATATCAAGGATTTTGTTGTGATTCCCATCTTAGGGAGTCTCACAAGTGTAGCACGATTTACAAGTTTAATAAGCTCTTTGTTCTAATATACCAGTCTTTTGGGTTTGAGCTCTCCCTTTGGGCTTTCCTTACTATTTGTTTTACAACAAGTGTTCCAAATAAAGATTATATCAATAATGTTATAAGCCTACACAAAAACTTGTCTAGTTTCATATCTTTTTTCCTACCTAACACCTTAGTACACCAGGGCTTCTCAAGAAAGAAATTCTTGAAGTTATTGATGCAAAATCCAAAATCTTGAAATCTTTAATTTTAGATGAAGGAGCTTACATTAAAATGGATGGGAGACTCGCCTCTTGTCTATTTGATATCCTTTATCCTAATCACAACTCCCTATCTCACAAGTTGCCTTAAATTTGAATTTTCCATATATGGAGGGATTAGATCTTGTAGGATTAGAAAATTAGAGTTTATAATGTGTAGGAGTTGCTCCATAAAAGGATTAATATTTTAAAAGATTTTTTATGAAGGGGTAAATATATCAAAATCCATCTTTTATAGAAAGATATGGTTTAATCTCTTGTAAATCTCATACTTTCCCTTATCGTACATTCTAATGTTGAGGGGACTGTTTTGCACCATAGTTTTGAAGTTATATGTTTCTGCCACAACTTCTCATTCACTATACATAATTTTCATGTGAGTTCCTTTTAAATCATAGGATGTCACATAAACCTCGTGTTCTAATTCATCATTTAAAAAGCAGAATTTGAATCAAATTAATAACAGGTAACTGCAACTAAGAAACCAAAAATGAAACAATTCTCACAATTTCAAATTGAGCAGTTGGAGGAGAAGTCTCCTCAAAATTCATACCTTGTTGTTAGTATCCCTTGAAAACAAATCGAGCTTTATACTCTTAAATGCTTCCATTAGTAAGGGCCGGGCCAAAAAAGCTATTTTTTAACATTTTCAAATAAAAAGTATATAAGCCATAATGGTAATGTTCGGGTTCCAAAACCACATACCCTATAACGGTAATCCCTTTTAGTTAATATGAAGTTTTAGTGGCTATTAATGTCGCTTGATTCACATATACTCCTCTCTTAAAGTTTTAAACATGCCATTCCCAGCATAATTACTCAAGAGGCAATAAAATCCAAAGTTACTCTTTAATGATTATATGGGGTCCATTAGGTATATGTTTATCCTACTGGCAAATAAGAACACATCTAATCCTACTTTCCGAATCTATATTCATAATCAAGATTCCCTTTGTCAAGAAAAACCCTAATCCTCCTTATTGATCATTAATATTGGCCAAGCATCAACTAAACAAATACATGCGTGTTTGAACAAACAAAATTAACATTAAGCACAAATAATTGATTCAAACATGCTCTGATCCAGTTCATAATAACTACTCTATGTTAACAGAACATTAGCCATGTTAAATGAAAGAACAAGAGGAGTGGGATAGAGTAGAGCACAAGAGGAAGGAAGGAGAGCCTACGAGAAAGAAGTCAAGGACACTGCGTTGTCACAGAGGAATGGGGAAGGATAAAACCACGAACAATTTACACCGCATCAAATCTAGATGGAAAACAACCTAGCTAAGTGAGACTTTGAGAGTTGAAGGAAGATTGAAGAGTTGAAGCTTGAGAATGAGATCAGAAGGCAGTTGGTGCGAGGATGGAAGGACTGAAGCTCTCTTGGTCTCTGGTAGTTGAATAATTTAAAAACATATATTTAAAGGATGGCCTTTTAATTATTTGACCCAAATGGGCCCAACGTTTAGCCCATTTACTCATTCTGGGACCTAATTTTTAAGCCTGCTGGTCCTCAATTTAAAAGGGTTTAAATGGGTTGGGCTGTAACAGCTCTACCCCATGGAACCTTATAACATTTTGGCCTTCATGAACATCTAACTCCCACGCATGTTGGGTTTTATGAATGGCTTGAATCTCCGCTGTCGTAGCACTTTGCCGCCCAAATTTTTCTATTGCTTCTAAAGAAGTTGGGTCTTGGCGTTTGAAACATACACAGAAAAACTACAAAATGCATAAATTTACTTTTAGCAAACATTTGAATTTTTTGATGGTATTTAACTAGAGGATCTTGATGCTGAAGAACTTGTTGATCTTGTGGTCTTTTTTCACTAGGTGAGGAAAATGAGAAAGAATATGGACTTGTCAATGGAGGGTGGCGTTGCTTGTCTATTGTCAAACTCACTCTATAGGGATTCAAAAATGGCTCCCTTGTTAATATTCCATTCCCAACTAGCCTCCTCTTCATTGGATACAATATTCCTGCTAACTATTACTTTAACACTTGTAAGATTATACAGATGACATGCTTTGGTTTGACTACTATAGCCAATTTAAAATTTAGTTTTTTTTTTTTCAATTTTTCATCAATTCAAGAATGAAATTTAACCTAAACATATGCTAGACAACTAAGAATTGTAAGTGGCTTGCCTGAGGCTTCTTGCTTTTCCGAGCTTCATATGGGTTTGATTCAAAAAAGCATTTTTTGGAGAGATGATATGCAATGTTATTTACTATGTTATTAAAATTAGAATTTATTGATACTGTTTGTGGTTCACCATAACGTTGCCTCTTCTTTTTTTCTCATTTGTTTCTGTACTATTTAGCAATAGTAAACAGTTATGATGCGCTTTTACTTTCTATCTGTTCTTCGATTCCATGGCATGGGCAAAACGCAGCTTGCAATATTTAGAACAGATAGAAACTAATTCTATGTGTTTCAGGTCGAAGTATTTGAGCAGGAGATCAATGTTCTAAAGAAAAAGGTTAGCGTTATATTTGTTTATCAAAAGCATCCCATGCATTATATTCAGTCTTTTCCTCAGTGTTATAGTGAGAAAGTATTGATCAGAATTAATTCCTTCTAACTTAACCTTTTATTTTAGGAAGTAATGCTGCCTTTGGAATTCTGAAGTTAGTAAAGACAAGGGTAGAAGGAAGAAAAGAGTAATTATTTTTATCTTCAAATTTTACAGTGACAGATAAATATAAACGAGAATTTTCTTAAAGAGTGACCATCAAAAAGGAATTGAGTGAGTAATTTCCGTGACCCTTCAAGTAAGCCCATAGTTAATAGAAATTACAAAAAACCACAAACGACATGCCTCAAATTAAAGACACATAAATTCAACATACATAAACTCGTACAGAACTAAAGCACTTTTTTTTTTTTGAAATTCTAAACACATAACTTTATCAAAAAGTCTATACTTACCAATGTCAACAACTTAAATACACACAAAAAATGAACTTAGCACACTTGATTAAGTTCAACCATAGATTTGAGTTTATATTTTCAGCATTTCATGGCTTGTGGTAATATAATATGATATGTAGTAATGTAAGACACTTCCTCCATCCCATATTTTAGTTATAGTAACATCTTACATTAATAAAATATTTGTTAATCTTTGTAGCACGTTGTGAGTCTTCATTCATGTCTCTTATTTGTTTTAATAATGCGTTTTAATTTTGACGTCAATAAAGGAAGACGGACTCAAGGAAGAAAACCAGAGGCTAAAGAAGGTTATCAGATTCTTGTCATTCTCTTGTCAATTAATTTCTCATTAATGTGTCTTCATAGTTCCATGTTTTAAAACTTAATGCCAATCCAGTTCACCAAATCCATGGAAGAAAACCAGAGATTAGATCAGGTAATTAACAGGTTCAGATTCTTATGGTCCTGTTTTTTGCCGGTAGTTCAGTACTGATCTGGGAATTTTATCGAACTGGGAAATGAAATTATGTGTTGATAGGCCCAATGGCTTGACGATGAACAAGATCAGCCATCAGACGCGTCTCCCACAACAAGGCAAGTTGCTATAAACGCCACTGATGAGAGAGTTTGTTGTTTATCTCCGGTTACTGTAGATTAGTTATTATTTTGCTCCCTCAAAAGTATTTTGGTTTAAGATATTAGAAGTGTTAGTTTTGTCAGTTAAGAGCTTTGTTTAGGTTTTAACTGTAAATCCTAAATCCATTTTATTTTACAAATTTATAATTCTTTTTCAAATATTGGTTGCAAGATGAATGTGGTGTTTTAACTGTAAGTCCTAAAGGTTTTTTTTAAAAAAAAAAAAAATCGACGAAGGTAATTTTCAATGCAAATGAATGAATGTGGTGTTTTAGGTAAACCAACACATTTACTACAGACAACAAACCTCATCAATCATTCTCAATAACTGTAAATTAATTATCTGGCACTTATATTTAAGATCGGATTTATTAGACTTTGCTTTGAATGGGCCTAGTGCTCTAAATAAGCTTCACTTTTTACAACTTGTTAGTACTCCAACTTCCTACACTTGCGTGTCTGTGTACATTTGATATGATATTGTTGACCTCATTAATGTAGTCCATGACGATGAAGTTTTTAATGGTAAGTCCCTGTGGCTTACATGAATGATTTGCAATCCATGTGGGTGAGTTTAATTAGTCTAAAACTCTAAACAATTAAGATTATCAAGTTTCATTAATCGTTATTTTATTTACTGAATCGCAGGTTACTCTTTCTCTGAATGAAATTAAAGCTTCTGAAGGAAGAAGCGCAGTGGGACCTTTTTTTTTCCCCCCTCTCTCTCTCTTTTGAAGTTTTGTGAAAAAAGTTCTTGCCTGAAAATCACAGTGCTAGATTTTAAATTTATGAATAGTGGTTGTACAATAATGGAAGTGTATAGCTGTGTGTAGTTGTTTCAACTTAGCTGTTCCTGGGCTGCAGTGAAGTGGTGGAACTGTGCTGTTTATTATTATTATTCATTAAGAAAATAAAAATAGTAGTAATCCATCCGATCAACTAATGTTCATTATTTACTGTATAATTTTACTGCTCTTGACAATATATAATAGGGAGAATTGTTATGAAGTTTCAAATAAGAAATATAATTATTAAAAAGTTCTAGTAATAACAAAGCATGCTGCAATGACAAGTTTCAGGGACTTACTAGTAATTTTTTTTAAGACCTCATTGGAATTCTCTCAATATAATAGACAAGTGTTCAATCCCACTTGAAAAGTAAAAACATATTTGAAGAGCAATTATTTTCACATAATATAGTCACCATGACACTCAATCGGAGGTGAATGTTGCATTAGTTAAATACATGTGAGATAGATAGGGTTGATTAATTGTTGGGCAGGTCATTTGCCTTGATCGGTGTTTCACATAAGAAAAACTTTCAAATAAAGTAACTATATTTGACTGTTTTTTAAATATATCATCGTCATATAAAATAATTTTATTTGAGTATTTTTAACTGTCAAATAAAAGCACAAACTTTAAATTAGATTTAAATATTTGACTGTTTCTAACTGTTAAATAAGATTTACTGCATAACAATTTCAACAATTTAGAGGATTTAAATTATACTTTTTTTCCTTCTAAAAAACTTGCATCTATTAATTAAAAAAGTGTTATGATCTCATTCTATATAATATACTACTACCTCTGGTCCTTAATATAAGATCTAGTTGATTAATTTGGAGAAATTAAAGAAATTAGTTAAATTAGTTATTTGTTATAAATATGTGTTGTCTTTCCTAGAATACTCTTGCTAATCATATATATTGGCTAATATTACTATTTGATGAAACATTTAATATGTACAGACTACAGGGACTATTTTGAAAAAAAAAGAATAAATATGAAAAACAAAGTGGATTGAGATATTATATTTATGACTAAATTAAAAGTCACACAAGCTCTTATAATAAGAAATGGAGGTAGTATAATGCACAAGATGGCACGTTCGATTTTTACACTATACAACTTTTTTGACACCATACTTGAATTATCAGTTATATATGAACACACACATATATTAGCTTTATATACAATACCTTTATATACTATAATTTTTATAAATAGCATGTATATGATATTACTAAAATTTAGCACTATTTTTTATATATAATTATTAATTAAGAATCATATATTATAATTCACTTTTTTGGCAAAAATATATATATTATAATTCATTTTTAGGTTCTCTTATTTCAATTTATTCAGCATAGTAAATACTAACCCAGTCCTCAATATAAGACCTTACTTGACTTTTATTTTGGTTCTAAATATAAGACCCCAATCCACTTTGTCTCTCATATTTATACAATTTTTTCTAAGATAATCCTTCTAATAATTGTAGTTTTAGCCAACACATTTGATTAGTAAGGATATTTTAGAAAAGACAACATTTATTTATTACAAATAACTAACTTAATTATTTCCTTCCTTGATCTTCTCAAATTAATCAACTAACTTTTATAATTAGAACAAGAGATAGTATATCATTCGACAGTTTTAGTGCCTTCCCTTTTTTGTTTGGTTTATACGATTCAAACACCACACACACACACACCCCAATATATCAACATTCAACTCAAACTCAAAACTTTATCTAAAGGTGACATTATTACCACTAAGGCAGTTAGCCATTGTTTTGACTCATTCCTTAAAGCCACTAATTATTAAATATTCGGATGCATATCTAGCCCGTATTCTTTATAAATAAAATAAAATAATTATACAACAATTGTTTTTACATGTTTGCCAGATTACTTTTTCTGATTACTAAGTAATAGGTTACATGGGGTATAATTTATAAATGGTAAAATTGGCCAAAATATTTAATCAAGTGATTGTGAGTTTAGATGTTACCCCTGAACATGTAGTAACATAATTGGGAACAGTCTATTGTTTGCCTTTAGTACTCAAAGTAAATTAAAAGAACACTCCAATGAAGCATCAATACTTCAAATGGTTTGATGTATTGGTATTGTATTATATCATATAATCATACACAACAATATTTTATACTATCTTTAGTCCTTAATATAAAAATTAGTTGAAAGTTTAATTTAATCTTAAATATAAGACATAAATCCACCTCATCTCACATGTTGTCCTTTTTTTATTTTTTTAAAAGTAATCATTATACTAATTATATGTGTTAAAAAATTTATATTAGATGATAGTTTTAATACAAATGATTAACAATGATATTGTAGGAAAAATAATACCTATTTATTATAAATAATTAATTTAATTAATTTTCTTAATATTCATATAGTTATAGGATCAACATAGCAAATACATACTATTGAAACTGAAATACTTTTTTAAGAAAAAATTTTAAATTTTTTATACATATCGGATACTCCTAGAATCTCATGGGACACTTCAAGACATTTTTATACAGAAATTAAATTCTGTTAAATATTAGGACAAAGCTTTCCATTTTATATAGGAGAGAAAAGAATAAGTGGAAATGCATGGAATTAGCTGGCAGAAAAGGGGAATGCACGGAATTACTTTGATGGCGCTAGAAAATTTTAGAATACTATTATCTTACCTCTGCTTGCATATGATATCAATCATATATTTATTCCTTATTTTATAAATCACGATTAAAAAATTATTTATAAGCTATTTTAAAAAGGTCCAAAAAAGATTGATACTACCTCCATTTTTTTAATAGAAGAGCTAAGTAAATAACTTACAAATATTAAAAAAAAATTAGTTAAGTTTATTATTTATAATAAATGCACCTTGGTTTTTTTAAGTTATCATTTTTAATCATGTACTCCTCTTATCCTAAATATAAGACACATTTTATATTGTAAATTACACTATGAAATAGGTCTTATATTTAAAACTGGAGGAGTATATTGGAATTACCTTTTGATAGGAACTCCTTAAGAATATTCTGGGGGGAAAATTATAAATTTAAGAAACAAAATGAATTGAGATTTTATATTTAGGATCAAATTTAAGCTCCCAACTTGTTATTATATTAAATTATGTATTTTTTTGGTATTCAGTAGTGACAAAGGACTATATTCTAGTCTACATTTGTTTGAATTCCAACTATATTTTTTGTTTGCTTTATAAATTCTTTCATGAATATATAAATGCATCCTAGAAGTATCATATCTTGTACTCCCCTGGTCTTTAATATAAGACTTATTTAACTAATTTGATTAGATTAAGGAAGTTAAGTAAGTTATTAATTATAAAAAATGTGACATGTTTTTCCTAAAACACCACAATCATCTTCCTTAATATCCTTTCTCTTTTTTCTATTTAATTATGGTTGACGGAGATCCATAGGGGGAATTTAAGAAAAATTGATAAATATGATAAATAGGTCTTATATTCAGGACCGGAGGAGTACTCTTTAAGAAATGAAAATGTTGACGTATTGGATATACATACATACATATATTTATATGTATATCACTGTATATGCATCAGATTCATATATGGCATTTGTGTATCAGAAGTAAATATACACCTTGAAATTAGTTTAATGTTACACATATGGATTTTGATGATAATATAAGAGGAATTCTTGGGTACACCACCTCATGTATGCTCTGGCCAATCAGAATATAACAAGTCACCACATTTTAATCTTATCTCATCTCTAATTGTTAAGCAATTAAGATTTTAATTAAAATATAATTTGTAAGTTAAACTTAGGACTTTCAACTTGCATCACAAAATTCCCATAGAAGAACCCTAATCTCTACATTCAACGATGATTGCCGCCTTCCTAGTGACTTGAGACGAAGCTTGAGCTCTTCCTAGTGGGCAAGTTAATCTGTGCCTTCCTTTTTCTCTTATTTTTGATCAAACAAGAGGTTATTTATCCTCATCTTCCTCTTCCTGGTGACTGTCATATAAATTAGAGATGAAGTTTGAGCTGTGAAGGCTGAAGGTCTCTTGACGATCCTCTTCTCATCGTGTTTTGCTTCGATTTGTGGCTGGTGAGCTGTGATTTATGGATACAAATAAGTAATGAAATCATTTTTGAAGCCTAGAACCCTAACATAAAATCAATTTTTAGAGCTTTCAAGAACACTTTTACGGTCCCTGTGT